AGCACGACGAAAAAGCAGCAGAGTTCCGACACTCCAGCGTGGGGAGCAGGGGCGGGGCGGGCAAACACGGGGCTCGCACCGTCCCGACCGGAGACGTCGCGGAGCGGCGAGAGCGGGGCCCGCGGGAGGAAACGCCGCGCCGGGGCCGCGCACCCGGGCCGGGCTCCGGGCCCGCGCCGGCCGAGGCGAGGGGGTGCCGACGCGAGCCGGAGGGCCGCGCCCCCCGCACCCCTCCCACCCCGGCGCGGCCGAGAAACGGGGCTGCGCAGGGAAGGAAGAAGTCCTCACGGGGCCCGGGACCCCGAAGCAACAAGCGCCCGCGGCGGCTCCCCAGGAGAGCGCCGGTCTCGGGCAGGAAAGCCGGGCCGGGCGCGGCGGCGCCTCCGGCCTCCCCTCGCTCTCAGCCCCCGCCCCCACCTCCGCACTCACTCTGCCACACGACGCTCTTCAGCCCCCTTTCCGTCACCGGCGGCGCCATCTTCCAAACCCTGCGGAGCAGCAGCCGCCGCCGCCTCCCTCTCACAACCTACTTCGGCGGTGAGGGAGGGAGCTCGGGCGGGGCCCGCCCCGCCCCGCCCGCGGGCCGCACCCTCCGCTGACGTCACGCGGGTCGGCAGGGACTCCCGCCCACTGCTGGACGGAGCCTGCGCAGTGAGGGTGGAAGCTCCGTGTGCGCTCGCGCGCCCCCTAGCGGGAGGCTGGGTGATCCGTGGCTCGACGTCGGGTGACGTCAGAAGCATCAAAAAACGTGCCGACAGATTGTCCGCTGACGCGATTTATGAAATTTTCAGTTCTCGGGACCATGCAGGAGGAAGGGAGGGGTTCGTTTGGCGGAGCGCTTTATAATAGACTTCACTCAGTAGCCAGTTCAACAACCGAGTGAGAAAGGTACCCCTCTCCCAAAGTTTACTTTATTCATTTTCTAATGACATAATAATTGTGTAGAGCTAGGAGGTGGACCTCCAGGGTGCCCAGAACGGTGCAGAGTTTTCAGAAAACTCGAAGGAATGAGACGCTCACTTCTGCAGAATTTATAGTCTAATTACTCAACTCAATTCCTGACTTGCTGAAAGTAGTCAGAAGTTGGTTTAAAAAGCAAGTGCCTTAATGATGATATATATAAATGAACCAATAAAACAAGATTATTTGTTTACTAAATATGAATTCATGTGCCAAACACTTAATTACAAGAATTAATTACATTTTGGGCTCTCCCAGAAATGGAATCCTAAACCAGTCGATCAGGAACCGCTGATCAGAAAATCTGCCTGATAGACTCCAGCCATTCACTAAAGGAAAGTAACCTTACAAGAATTAATCCCCCTTTTTTTGCCAGTATAACCTCTCCAGTCCTGCTCCCTTCTGCCTATACAAGTCTTTCATTTAGTAGAGCTCTTCGGAGCTCCTTTTTGTCTGCTAGCTTGGCCACCCACCCACTCATGAAGATCATTGAATGAAGCCAATGAGATCTTAGCGGCACGAATGGTTTTTCCATCAGAGGACGTGAGAATGAATGGGAGCTGAAGCCCTGACCTCTTTTAAACCTATGTTAAATGGACTCAACTGCTCAAAATATTAAACAAACACATACGTATTTCTCTCTCGTGTTGCAAGTGTACATCAGGTTCTGCCAGTCCCAAGCCACAAAAAAAAGGATGGAATGAGGCAGACTCACCCTTCCTGAGGTGCAGCTCCTCACCCTCCAGGGTCAAACCACCATGGCAGAGGGAGGTGGGTGACGTGCCTCCACCTCCTGCCCTTGAGAATGACCCGGTGCCTGGAGTGACACAGAAAGGCCCTTCTGGGTTGGAAGTTTGACTTTGGTTGCATGTGGGACAGCTGGGGCTCCTGCTCCTGAAGGCTAGATTCCAGGGTGCCAGTGTGGCCCTTAGTCACACCCAGACACAGATCCACACTCCGCAAGCGTGTGACTTCAAGCTCATCGGTTTCATTGCACTGAGGTGTTGAATGTAATCACCTCAAACTTCACAGCCACCCTACAAGATGACAATCTTTACTGCCATTTTACAGATGCGAAAACTGATACTCAGAGAAATGAAGGCGTGAAAGACCTCCAAGGCCATTTCCATTTCCATTGGAGAGTGCTGCCTACCTTCTCCTGATCCCCTGGTTTCGCATAACCTCTCTGACCTGTCTCTCCGGTCTCTTCTAGTTTGTTTGCCTAAGCAAATTGAACAATGAATTTGGAGTCCCTGAACATGACATGGCAGAATAGAACATAAAATTCACCAACACGAGTCAAGGATTAAAAAAAAAAATCTTCTTTGTACAATTTGCAGAGCAAATAAACAGCCAGAATAAGCAGGGCCTGAGTGTAAAAGCGCTTGAGTTAGAAAGTCACTAACTCACCATCCTGTTCAGAGATCATCTTCATTAACAATGGATAACAATAAATCATGATAAGGCAGAGAAATAGTTTCCATAAAGATGCCATAGATTAGCAGGTCTACTCAATGCGACATGCATATTTGACCCCCTGCGGATTTGTGTTTGAGCTGGTTAGCTGTGTAAATGTCCATGAGGTACTCGACCTTTCTGAGTCTCATGTTCTTTATCCATATAAAGGCTATGATATTGGATTATTTTCTAGCTCATGGGGCTGTTATGAGGATGGAATGAGTATGTGGACAGCACTTAGAAGCATGTAGGATGTTCTCCGTCATCCACGAATTGGTTTTACGTTCAGCTGGGTTGGACTATGTCAACTTTTGTGGAATTCTGACAGAAGCAGCCCAGCCTTAGATGCCTGGCGACATAGGCAGACCTTTCATTTTCTGTGCCCTGGTGTTTGTAGAACATGGGCGTACTGGTCCCTGCTCCATAGTGTCGTAGGACCGTAGGGAATTGGCCTTCCCTTTGGCTTTTGCCCTCAGCTCAGTGGCCATGGACACAACTCTGTCCAGCCTCAGCACAGTCTCACGCGGGCTCTGGACCACAGCCCAGGAAGCTTCCCCAGTTCGTGGTTGCCCTCCCAGGGTACGGACCACCCTGAACCCTTCAGGCTTTCTCACCAATATTTCCTCAAGCCCACAGCCCTGTATCGTCTTTAAATTAACTAAATAAGGGAGCTGTTAGATGGGGTGGTTCTAATACCTGAGCAGCCTACCTAAGCACACCAAAACCCAAGCCTGTGAGTGCCTCCAGGTTCAGAAACCAAAAATCTAAGGACGACCAATCACAAACAGCCAACCGGGCTTTTCCAAATAAGGCAACAGCTTAAGCGATAGCCAATCAAACAACATCCTTGCTTTGATTCAGCTCCTTCTCTATAAAGGTCTTTCCCCCAAGCTCCTGTAGCCAAAGTGATCCTAACTACTTCCAGCTTGCTGCTGTGGAGCTCGAATAAATTTCTGCTCAAATAAACTCAACATTTTTCATATGCCTCAGTTGTCTCTTAACCCTTAGCCTCCCATCACTGAAATTGTGCTTTTAAGGAAGAACTCACCAAGGAGAGCCTTTTAAGATCCCCAAACCTGGCCACCTGTCACAATCACTTGGTGGGTTTGTCACAAATACAGGTTCGCAGACCTACTGAGTTAGAACCTGCAGGGGTGACATGTGGGACTCGGTCTGGAGTCATGGGTTCTCCGAGTGCTGCGGGTGCCCCTGCCCAAGTCCCGTTCATGCACTGGAACAAACGTGAACTAAGCTCAGCCCACTCCGTGAGTACCCTCTGCAGCAGCCAATCCCATCTAGGGTCGGGACCAGCGGCTCGTCTCCTTTCCAAGGACAGGTGCTGTGCGGAGTGTCTCTTATCAGTGTCACAGCAAGCAAGCAAGCATCTCTCATCAGTCTTACAGAAAGGGCAAAGGGGCAGAAACAAGGAGGTTTGTCCTCCCTCCCAGTTTGACTGAGGCCCAACTTCTCGCTCCTGTCCCTCCAGGCAGAATTCTGCAGTTGTTCCTAATGCAGTTCCGGGCTCCACAGCTATGCTTTGGGGGAGTGAGCACTGTAGTTGTGTGTGTGTGTGTTACACACGTCCTACTTGTACTCTTTTATAATAAGGTTACTGGCATTTGAAGGACACACATTTTTCTAGGTACAACCATTTATATTATATATAATCATTGCCTTCCCTCTTCAAAAATGAAAAAAAAAAGTTACAGTGTGAGTGGGGGTTACAGCCAGCAAGGTTGGTGGTTCTCCTCCCCCCACCCACCCAAAGATGCATGGATGCCAGTCTGCCCCGGGCCGTCTCTCCACCCCAAGCCTCTGCACACTCAAAAGCACCGGCTGTGCTCCTCTGAGCCGCAGGCCGACAAGCTGCTTTCCCAGGTGCCCCAGTGGAGGCCATGCCGCCTGAGGCTTTGGCTTGGCAAACCCTGCAAGCATCTCGGCTTCTTCCAGACTTGAGAGGAGAGTGTTTGTTCCTGCAGCTGCTGCTAGCTGCCCTGTGCTGAAGTCCTGGCAGTTGGTTTGGGGATGAGCGGTGTCTCTGTGAGGTGGCTTGATGTCGCCTTCTCTGGGAGTGGACAGTTCCAGACCGTGAGTAGTTAAAGGGCTGCGTGGCCAGGGCTGATGTCGATGAAACACTTGGGAAGGGGATGCACTGAAGTCTGTAGTGTGTCTGGACGTGAAACCTCAGAAGGAATCTGCCAAGCAGACCGTCCGTGTGCCCAGGACCCTCCGGGTGCACTGGCTGGCTCTGGCAGCCTTCCAGAGGACTTCCTGGATCCACGTCTCTCTGGAGTCCTCTCTGCAGCACAGCTTGCAGTCTGTGCAGGGGAGGACACGCCTGACCTCGCCTCGGGAAGTGGAGTCAGAGGTGCTCTTCTGTGCGGCTTGTCCTATCCTAGATGCGCTGTGAATTCTAATAGATCGCTTCCATCTCTAGTCACGCTAACAGCTGAGACAACCCTGTAGAAGATATGCGAAGAATTCTTAAAAACAGAGACCAAAAAGCCCTGTCTCTGAGTCACACCACGGCAATTCAAATGACTCACTAGGTCAAGTCTCTGTTGTCATCGTGGCTTGCTCTGTCATTCTGCATTCCTCTTCCCCCTGTAAATCACTGAGAAGGGCAAGGGAGGGAAGGAGCCACAAGAGGCATGAAATATGTGACATTTTCTTAATTAAAAAGCCCCCAAATGTGTCTGACATTTAGACTAGTATTTTGAAGTGCTAGTCACAGGAAGGGAGCCAGCCATTAAGAGAGTCTCGACTGTTCCAAGGGCAGGAAGAAACTGACCAGCAGAGCCTGGCTAACCAGGGAGACCTCGGTCCTGCTCCGTGAAACGAATACTCCCAAAGAGATGCTTCGAGCTCAGACTATGGACCCAGGACAAAGCACTTTTCTCTCTCCCCCAGGCTGACTGCTGTGTTCTCAGGGCGCTCTGAAGTTTGAATGGTTCAGGGAGAACACTGTTGTAGAGAAAACCCAAATCGGTTGCTGAGGGAGCTGAGAAGAGGAAATGCCCCCAGAGTTCCCTGGACCGTGTAGGTGACACTGAAGAGCCAGGTGCTGAAGACGAGGGACTCCCCCATGGAGTGATGTCAGACACACGCCCTGCAGTTTACCTGCTGTTGCAGCCCCGTCACCTCAAGTAAACGGTTTCCCTCTCCCTTTCAACCTGCACCCAATTCCCAGCATCAAAGCAGCTTCCTTGCACGAGAGCCGTGGTTCTCAAACCTTAGTGTGCCTCGGAATCACTGGCAGGCTGAGTTAAAATAAAGATTGCTGGGCCCTGTCCGAGTGGCTCAGTTGGTTGGAGAGTCATCCCATAAACCAAAAAGTTGTGGGTTCGATCCCCAGTACAGGGGCATACAGGAGGCAACTGATCCATGTTTCTCTCTCTCACCAATGCCTATCTCTTTCTCCCTGCCTCTCTCTCTAAAATCAATTTTTAAAAAAAGATCATAAAAAAACATAAGAAATAATAATAATAATAAAAGAAAAAATCTTCCCTGGCTAGTGTGGCTCAGTGGATTGAGCACAGGCTCTAAACCAAAGGGTGGCCAGTTCAGTTCCCAGTCAGGGCACATGTCTGGGTTGTGGGCCAGGTCCCCAGTTGGGGGCACGTGAGCGGCAACCACACATTGATGTTTCTCCCTCCCTTCCCCTCTCTCTAAAAATAAATAAATAATATTTAAAAAAAGAAAAGAAAAAAATCTTTAGGACAACCCAAGAGTCAAGGAAGGCCAAAGACCTTAGACCAACAAGATTCCCAAGGTTACCCTGGCTGGATAGCTCAGTTGGTTAGAGCATCATCCTGATGCACCAAGGATGCAGGTTCAATTACCTGTCAGTGCACATGCAAGAATCAACCAATGAATGCATAAATAAGTGAAAAAACAAGTTGATGTTTTTCTTTTTCCTTCTCTCTCTCTTTTGCTTTCTCCCCTCCTTCCTCTCTCTCTCTAAAACCAATAAATTAAAACAAAAGAAAAGGGCTCTGGCTGGCGTAGCTCAGTGGATTGAGCGTGGGCTGCAAACCAAAGTGATGCAGGTTCGATTCCCAGTCAGGGTACATGCCTGGGTTGCAGGCCATGACCCCCAGCAACCGCACATTGATGTTTCTCTCTCTGTCTCTGTCTCCTTCCCTTCTCTCTCTAAAGATAAATAAATAAAATCTTAAAAAAAAAAACAAAGAAAAGATTACCAAAGCTGTCCTTAGCATATCTGGAGGCCCTATGTCAGCCAGGGACCCAATTTGACTAGTCCTGTGTACAGGCAGGAAAAACGCTGACACTGGAGACATGATGGATTCTGTGTGATATGGAGGCCCTTCTATGACTCGGCTAATTCTTATTTTTGAGGGTCTTGCAAGATTTCTACAAGGATCTGCTTAAAGAGAGAGGCAGATGACAGGCTGGAGACTGAACCTGGCTGAGGAGGGGAGAAGCAATGGTTAGGGCAGCCCTGAGAGACGGGAAGAGGGGAGAGAGCGACAGTGGCCCTGGCCCACTCCGACAGGCCGGGGCCTCCACCTTCTCCCTCAGCTCTCCAGGCGTGTCTCTCACACACCCACGTCTGAGAACGACCGCAGCGCTGAGCAGCATCTCTCACACTTAAACATGCGCGTGAACCATCTGGGGATGTAGTATATCAGGGTGGGGCTGAGACTGCACATCTCGAACAAGCTTTCTGGAGGAGATGAGAAGCAGAGTCTGAGTGATGGATTTCAAGTGTTTTTTGCAAAAGCATTGCAACCGTTTCTTTAACAAAATCTTAGGGAAGCCCAGGATACACAGGACTTCTCTCCTGCAAGGAGTCCCCAGCATGCTTCAACTGCCCCTCCGTGGCTCAGGAAAGCACCGATTAACAACCACTAGAGTACTGGAAACAGGTCCAGAGAATGCAGATCTAGGCCCATGTACATTTCCCTGAAGACTAGGTCATTAGTACTGTGGGAGTTTTTTGGAAAGTATTTTTTTATAATTGAGAAGCTTTTTCACAGTTCCTTTTCAATAAGCAAGGCCTGTTTCCCTGTAGGCACTGGAAACGGAATCCCTTTAAGAATGTATAGGGATTGTGCTTGTTTCGGGTGTGCAGGTTATCCCGCGGTGCTCAGACAAGCAGTGGTCTGGGAGGCGGGGGAGAGACCAGGCGGTGGAGGGATACTCCAAGCCCAAGCCCTGCCTGCGGAAGGAAGGTGGCGTCGGAGGGGAAGCCGGCCCAGACTGGGAGGCAGGCCAGTGGGGGTGCGGGTAGGAAGGCTTCATTTCCACTCACATCCTCTGAAGTCAGCCGTGTCCGGCTGGGCATACGTGTGTGCGCATGCGTGCCCTGTCTGTAGTTTGGAGGTTATAATAGTCTCTGAGGGTTTTCCCCAAGGTCCGAAACCTAGCCGGCCCCTAGGAGCGTGTGGCCAGCTTTCTGGTGAAGCCGCACACGCTCCTGACCGGGTGGGCACGCACCGCTCTGTGTGTGGTCGTCTCTGCCATCTGGCCCGTCACGGGCCCCCGTGGTGCGCCCAGAGTGGCCCAGACGGGCTCCGCCCTGAGCGCCCCCAAGGAGGCGGTGAGCGTCATCTTTATTCCAGTCTCCCCTCAGCACCCCGTTTCCTCCACTGGGCCCATCTGCCCATGCAAACCGGAAGCAGACCCCCTGGCACCTGCCTCCCTGACTAACTGAAGCGCCAGCTTTGACCTTGACTTCACTGTCACCCGAAAGTGCAACAGGAAAATGCCCTTAGATTTCACCCATGAGAACAATGCCTTACCCATTCCAAGTGTACTTCCAGAGCAGGTTACTGCAACACATAAAAACACAGCATTTAAAGTATACTTAATGACATATTTAAGATGATAAAGATAGAACTTAAGAAAGAATAAAGGAAAAGTAAACCAAAGAATGAACTACTAGCAGTGCGGCCCTGGGCAAGTCACTTCCCTACTCTGTGCCTCAGTTTATCCGTAAGTGGTAAGAAGAAAACCAACGTCATAGGGTTGTTAGAAGGATTAATTAATACATGTAAAACCCTTATAATAGTAGCCAGCACATAGTCTTCAATAAATACTGGTCATTATTGTCATTTACAATACTGTCCTAATTATCAGAGTAAGGCATCACCAATACTGAAAAAGAAAAACAACAAAAAATTTCCCAAAATGCATGGTTTTTACCTAGGAAGTTGAGCATTCAATGAGGTATTTTTTTTTTTTTTTTAGCATTTCATGAGGTACTGAATGTGAGAACATTTAACAAATTGTAAAACATACAGATATAATGAAATATCATTATGAGTTGTAGGTTCTTCTCCCTAATTGCTCATCCCCACCCCCAAAACCTATTTCTGTCCCTTCCCATAGGGCCATGCTTTGGGCCAGCTTGTCCTGTGGACAAGATAATGAACAAATAAGGAATCAGAGCATGACAGCCAAGGACAGTGCGGACAGCCCCCGGCCAGGGAGCGGGCCCGGCTCCCTATCCAGGTGTCCCCCTGACCCTGCGCGTGATCGGGAACTTCAGATTCTGCTCATCAGTAAAGACTTCCGAGCCCGTATTTATTCCTCTGCCTGTGTTTGAAGCCTTCCTCATCTCTTTCCCTCTCTCTCTCTTTTTTTTTTTTTTCCTAGAAGTATATGAAAAGCACACAGCTGTGCTCTGAGCAAGGTATCAGAAGGCAGGTGCTGGAATAGGGAGCAGGAAAATTGCGAATGCTTTTCTGCCAGCTCTGGTGAGACCCCACAGCTGACAGTCACGTGCTGTGGTCACAGACTGCCAGACCTAGCGTGTGATGTATACACCCATTTTTTTCTGATTCTCCAGTTCTTCCTCGGTCATAAGGCTGAATCTGTGCAAATACGAGTTCAAGTATCTTAATTTCCAGCATTCCAGGGTGTCTATCATTATCTCTAAGACTATGTCAAAAATTAAAACCAGCCCTGGCTGGTGTGGCTCAGTGGATTGAGTGCTGGCCTGTCGACCGAAAGGTCACTGGTTCAATTCCCAGTCAGGGCATGTGCCTGGGTTGCAGTGGGGGCTGTTTGAGAGGCCACTGATCCAAGTATCTCTCACACATTGATGTTTTTCTCCTTCTCTTTTTCCCTTTCACCTCCTCTCTCTAAACATAAACAAAACCTTTTTTTTAAAAAAAATCTATGCCCAAATCTCAAAGCAGGAAATCATTTTAAATTGGCTTTAGTACTTAAGTAGCATGCTTCTGGGCCTTTTCCTGAAGGAGGAGAGAGGGAGAGGGAAGGCAGAGGATCTCCAAATCAAATAATAATAAAGCAGCATCGTGATTCCAAAGAGTCAGGGGGTCCCTAGCAGCCAGAATCTCCTGCAGTATGTAGAAACCTCATACCCTCTTTGAACTTCCTTCCCACAGGGAAGTGTGAGTGCTCTGAGTCTTAATTCACAGATTGAGTGGAGGGTTCGTTTTACATAAAGGGTCACGACTTGCTGTACCTGAATATATTTTTTTCGGGCAGAAAGTGAGCTTCAGGCCTGTCTCGGCCACTGGCGAGACCATCACGGTATATACGTCCCCGCAGGGTATCTCGGTGACGTCACAGAAACTGAGGCCCGCGCTCGGAGAACACGTGAAGACGCCTTTGGAGCCGTAGAGGTCGGTGCTGTAGTTGGCAGAGCCCCTGGAGGCCTGCCAGTCGATCCGGACGCCAGTGGGGCTCAGCCTATACAACTTCACCCCCAGTGGGCAGCAGGCACCTGAAGGGTAACAACGCACACAGACCGTTTGTTCCCCGTCCCCACACACGTGGCCTCTGTTACTGGGGGGAAACCGTGTAAGTGACTTATTCTAAATAATACACGATGCGAGCAAGATTTGAAGAGGCACTCAGCTCCTTCCATGGTGGGCCACGTGGTTAGAAACCCATGAGTAAAAACAGCCCAGTAAATGCACAGGACTGTGGAGAGGAAAGGAAAGGAGGGGAGGGGAGGGAAAGGAGGGGAGGAGAGGGGAGGGGAGGGGAGGGGAGGGGAAGGGGAAAGGGAAAGGGGAAAGGGGAGGAAGGAGAGGAGAGGAAAAGGAAAGGAAAGGAAAGGAAAGGAAAGGAAAGGAAAGAGAAGAGAAGAGAAGAGAAGAGAAGAGAAGAGAAGAGAAGAGAAGAGAAGAGAAGAGAAGAGAAGAGAAGAGAAGAGGAGATCCGTGGGGCTGGAGAGTACGGATTTTTAATAGGGAGCAATGGTGAGTCAAAAAGCCCACACTTGGTAGATACGTGTTGTGTGTGAGTCAAACCTTATGAGTCAAAGGCACAGAATCCTTGTCAAGAGCCTTCCTAATGCCCTAGTTTCGAATGATTTTAGTGGGGTTGAATTTAAATGCAATTAACTGCTTTCAGCTTTCATTGAAAAGGCCTATTGTGCTGAGCTGAGTAGCCTGACGCCAGGAGAGCGGTGACTTACACAACAGGCGGGGGACAGAGCTTTGCTGGCCGCGTGTCCTCCATGCTAGCTGGCTAGGTATTTTTTCTCTCTTCCAAATGTGTGGGGGAGGTCACACGTTAGGTGTCCAGCAGGGCACCAAAGGGGGGATTCCTCAGTAACTAAAATAATGACGTGTTTGTATAATAATTGAAAAATTCAGTTATAGGTAAACAGGCTTGTGGGATTTATTCTTTAAAAAAAAAAAGTTTTGGAGTGGCTGGTGCAGCTCAGTGGATGGAGCAAGGGCTGGGAACCAAAGGGCCACCGGTTTGATTCCCAATCAGGGCACATGCCTGGGTTGCCGGTGCAGGGAACGAGAGAGGCATCCACACATTGATGTTTCTCTCCCTCTCCCCCTCCTTTCCTCTCTCTCTAAAAATAAAATAAATAAAATCTTTAACGCCCTGGCTGGCGTAGCTCAGTGGATTGAGCTCAGGCTGCAAACCAAGTGTCTCAGGTTCGATTCCCGGTCAGGGCACATGCCTGGGTTGCAGGCCATGACCCCCAGCAACCGCACATTGATGTTTCTCTCTCTCTCTCTCCCTCCCTTCCCTCTCTAAAAATAAATAAATAAAATCTTAAAAAAAAAGTTTTGGAGGGTGTGAAGCTAAGCCAATTCCCAGAACTGGGAATCAGGGTGAGAATTTAGGCGGCACAAATCAGCTTACACATTTGTAGCACACTATACATGTTTTCACGCTGTGATTACTCCTATTTCTCTTCCCAATGGGGAAACGGAAGCAGGGAAGATGAGGCGACACAGCTCATCAGAAGCCATGTCTTTAGACCCCTGGTCTCAGACTCTACTGCCCCCTGGGATGGAAAAAGCACACCCCAACTCTGCTGTCCCGTGCCCCGAGACAGACGAGACTAACCGACCGATCGTGGGACTCTTTCCCATTCAGCCTGGGAGGCGACCTTAGTTTTTTTGCAAAACACTGCTCCCAGCAGCCACTTCCGTGGAGAGACCGAAAAGAGAAACAGATTTGCTAGCCCTGTACCCCTTTGAGGGTGTTCTCCCTTCTCCCTTCGCTGCTGGTCCCTGATGGCTCATTTGGTCTTTGTGAAGCTGGAGACAGCACTGTCAGTAGGCAGTGTTCCTTTAGCTCGTGGAAGTGAGAAACCACAGAAGGAGCCGGAGTGGTTTAGGAGAGAGGTAGTAGCCTAATGAGAATGAGAAGAACACCCTCAAGCCAAATAGAGGGTCTGGCAGAAGTAACGCCTGCTGGAGTGTGGCTGGTGGGTGTAATAATTCATGGTTTTAACGTGAACATTTCACCTAAAATGCCACAGGGTGTGCTCGAGTGTGACAAGGTTATGTCACACAATTACATGCTTATGACTCTGTAATATAACAGGGGCGTTATTTGTGCCGGACCCTATGGAACATCTGCTCTAAACGCGTTCTGAGAACTGCGGGCGGCTGTGTCCTACAAAAACCTGCCCTCCCTTCCAAAAAAGTGCACCCGGACCCTGTTGCCAGGGGAGTTAATTCACCAACCACCAACAGAAGCCTCTGAAGCTTGGAGGTTTCAAGTCAAGAGCAAAAGGAAGCATTTTAGACGGTAACCTGAATTTGTGATGCGAGGTGGGTAGAGATATAGCCTGTTTCTGAATGGGAAGGAGGGGCTTCTGGCTGGATTTATGATGGCTGGTCGAGGTCCTTGCCGATTCGGCAGAGCTAGAGTGGAGAATCCACTTACTAGAGGAATAGCTGTGGTAGGCGCAGTCCGCGGTCACCCCGGTGGCACTTATGGCTTTTAAGGCCACTGTGTAGTTGACACCACATGTGATGCATCCCAGGAGGCAGTGGTTCTGATGCGTGTGACACTTAGACTGTCCGGCGGGTGACTCCAGAACCATCACGTAGGTTAGGGCCCCGGTCCCAACTGTCCAGCTCACGTTGATGACTGACTGGGTGACCTGGGTTATGGTCAGGCCGGCTGGACAGCATGGCACTGGAATGAGGAAGAAGAGAAAGAATTGGGGATTTATTTCCACGGAGGGTTATTTGCATTTTGCCTGGGTTTCATTCAATAGCCCAAATGTTGCAGACCCTCAATTGTTAATGAAAATTTCCTTTTGTTAAGCAAAAATCTCACTTCCTCTGATGTATCACTTAACATCAACTGAATATATAGCAGGTGCTGCCCCCAACGCCACATTGCACTAACTGGCTGTGGGTAATGTGAGGTCCCTCCAGTTTTTCTGAGAGTAAGAAAACCCTTTGTTGTCCCCCAGCTTTAAAATTCCAGTTGCAAATTCCAAAACAGCAGTTACACACCCCACTTCTCCCAGTATCACGTTTCACAGTATTTGTAACTAAATGCATTTTGCATTTCTCGTGCATTTCATAGTATGTAATTGATATGAAAGCTTGAAATAGTCCCAGCTACCTAAGACTGCCACAGCCAAGTCTCAATTTTTTAGAGAATCATTGTATAGAATATAGGGATATCCAGAATCTTCCTGTGTATTTGGAGTTGTCTCTATTCTGGGGCTTCTTACATTTCAACTGTTGTAGTCCAAAGGGCACCTGCCGTTGTATGCGTATATAAGGGAAAATGTCCAAAGGCTTTGAGTAATTGCTGAATTTCATTCACATGCAATACTATAAGGCAATCACAGCATTCTTTTATCCAGCTCTTACTATGCAGCAGGTACTATGCAAAGGGCTTTGCAGAATTAAATAACTTCATATTCACAGCCACCAGGATGAAGCCATGACCACCTTTACCAATCAGGAAACAGAAAGGTGGAAAGCATCGTTTAGAGGAAGACCCAAAAGGGCTGACCCAAAGAAATAAGTAACAAACCAGTTCCTTTGGCCCTTGCTAGTTGTTTTGGTGGATTGTGTCACTGGGGAATAGCGACTCCAATAAATGTGCTGCGGAGTCAACTTATTTCCCCTTTGATGTCAGTGTATGGATATATTACAGCCTCCTGATGATATTTGTACAAAGCCTGTGTCCGCATGTTGCAAGCTTTATTTTGTAAGCCGGGGCTCTTGGAAAGGCCTCTGAGTGTCATGTATTGCTATCACACTCAGGGGAGATCAAGTTAAAAAGTTCACGTCTGAAAACAATCCCTCTGGACCCCACTGAAGTCCGCGTCCAGGCTGATGGCTGCGGCGTACCTGTTTCCAGGGGCACGCTGTAGCTGGGCAGGCTGCGTCCCGCCTGGGTCTCGGCCACCGCGGTGACAGAGAACACGGAGCCACAGGGCAAGCCGGCCAGGGCACAGGACTGCCCTGTGCTGCGGCACCGGTACAGCCCGTCCTCGCCCCGGGCGGTCACTGTGTAGGTAGTGCCCTCGTTACTGGATCTCCAGTGCACGTGGATCACGGAGGAGGTGTCCTTCGAAACACTTATTTCAGGACTGCAAGGAGCTAAGAGAGTTCAGATTATTACCATTTTGTATTTATTTTTAGAGAGGGGAAGTGAGAGAGGAAGAGAAACATCAATGCATGGCCGCCCCTTGCACACCCCCCAACTGGGGGCCTGGCCCACAACCCGGGCATGTGCCCTGACTGGGAATCGAACTGGTGACCGTTTGGTTTGCAGGCAAGCACTCAATCCACTGAGCCACACCAACCAGGGCTAGAGAGTTCAGATTATTCATTGAAACAGTGAGAGTCAAAAATATCACCTGGGCCATTTGCTCTAAAACTGATTTTCTCCACCCTGGCTGGGTGGCTCAGCTGGTTGGAGCAACGTCCCTTCTGACAAAAAGTTGCAGTTTCCGATCGTGGTCAGGGCACCTACCTGGGCTGCAGGTTCCATCCTGGTCAGGGCACATACAGGAGGCACCCAATCAATGTTCCGTCTCAGACCCATGTCTGTGGGTCGGTCTGTCCGTCTGCCCTCCCCCTCCCTCTCTTTCTCTCACTCCCTTCCTCTCTCTCTAAAAATCAATGAAAACAATGTTAAACATTTTAATCCTTGGGTGAGGATTAAAAAAGTAAATACAATGAAATGACACTGATTTTCTTCCCCCACATAAGATCGGCGTGGCTTTCAACCACACCATGTGTGAAGGCCAAGTTGGTCGTGTTTATGGGGAAACCCCCTTGCTGCCCTTGATGTGGTCTTGGGTTCCTGCAGTATCGGACTAACTGGGAGGTGTTGAGGAGCGTTTTAGGCTCCAAAAGCAAAAGTAATGAAGGCAAACATTTGTGGTCTTAACCTCCACAGTGTGATTACCGGCAGAGCCCCCAAAGGGGGGGGGGAGTGACCGGCTGACCGACAACACCTTCCACAGTCCCTGTGGTCTCCTCTTTTGTTTGCTTTTTCCCCTCCTTTCCCTCTTCCACCTTCTCTTCTGCCTTCCCCTTAGTAAGACAGGGGCTCTCATGCACTCTGCGAACAGCGGTCCTGGCTGGGTGGCTCGGTTGGTTGGAGCATCGTCTGTATACCAAAGGTAGTGGTTCAATTCCTGGTCGGGGCGTGTACGAGAGGCAACTGATGGATGTTTCTCACATCCATGTTTTTTTTCTCTTTCTCTCTCTTCCTCGCTCTCTAAAAATCAACTTAAAAAAGAACCATATCCTCAGGTGAGGATTAAAAAAAAGTGGTTAGTGGGAGTTAGCCTTTTGATAGCTCTTGCTCAAGGCCCGCCCGAGGGGCACCCTGGGGTGGGTCGGGCAGACATCGGTGAGGGCAGTCCTTGCTGCATCGTACCTGTGGTTATGAATCGGGAGGCACAGGATGTGTTGCTGCCCCGGACTTCGCTGAAGGAATACACGGTGATGTTGTACTGGGTGTCGCACGCCAGAGCCGAGAGGGTGCAAGCAGGAGCAGTGTCGTTGCACTCGACGGTGTTGACCCTGCCCACGGCCTTGGTTTCATACAGTTCGGCACCACGGACGGGGGACCAGACGATCTCGACTCTGTCACTGGACACCAGCACAGGGTTAATGTCGCTGGGACAGCAGGGAGCTGGAAGCAGGAACAGAGGGGGGACGGAGGTCAGTACAGAGCAAGGCTGTTGGAGGGGGGCGCGGATGCCCGCCCCTGTGCACAGACTCTGTCGCCGCCCTCCTAAATTATTGCAACGCTCTCCTGCAGGTCTGTCCAGCTCTGAACTTGGCCTCACACCCACTATGTAGGGGCTAAATCTTCTAAGCATGACATTCAAGTTCATTGCAAATTCTACCCAGTGTATATGTTCAGCGGCATCGCCCTGGGTTCCCTGCCCCATGAGACTCCTCAAGCCACGCCGCACGGGGGTTCACACGTCCCTGGGCCTCGGACTGCTGGCCCCTCTGCGCAAGGCCGTTCCCCTCTTCTGCCTGACGACCTTCTACAGCCTATCGGTCCTTCCAGGTGCTGAACCAGATCAAACTGGGAGGCAGAGAAGGGCAGGCAGCAGCATCGTTGTGTTAGTAGATGTTAGAAGAGACCCTACATGACCTCGCGGACAAATTCTGACCAATGTCTGACTCAGCTTGGGGTGTCTCTGGGCTGCTCTTGCCCCAGCTACATCCCGAACCATCCCTCAAGATCCAGTTCAAGGTCACTCCCTCTGGAAGACCTTCCTGTGCTCTCGAGACCTGGAGGACTCTTACTCCAAATTCTGAAGACACTGACCTATTTGATTCCTTCATCCTGGTAAAAATGTATTATGATTCAGCTAGTCTTGTTTTTTACATAGTTATATTGTAGTATTCTTATCTATAAATACAGTTGATTCATTTTAAGTCACTGCATTCATTCTTTAAAAAGCAAGCATCTCCCACACACCAATCACATAGTGATAAGCATTGAAGATGAAGAGATAAATATAACATAACCCCTGTCTCTAGAAGATCCAAGCCAAGTGGAACAGATTAATAATAGTAAAAGTAATAATGATGTTAAAAAATGTTTGCATCACACTTAATCGTATACAAATACTTTTTCATATTCATCTTCTCATGATTTATTATCTGTCCCATTTTGCAGTGGAGGATACTAAGGAACTAGTAAGGAACCTGCCATTGTCCCCACAAACAACCTGGTGGTTCAGTTAGGACTTGGACCCGGGTATCCTCCTGCAAAGCCCTCCACACTACGTAGCGTCTTTGCATCTCTGTGTTCTGGCTTTGGGGAAAGAACGAAGCACTGAGACATAAGGATCGCATCCCCTTCCACACCTAGCACAAGGCTGAACAACGAGCAGACCGTGGTGGAGGGCTCCCTTTTTCAGAGCAGGGGTGAACAACCTCACTCATTCCCCTCTTTCACTTCAAAACCTTGCATTTTTGTCAAGCCCGCGTCCACAGAGCCCAAATGCCCTAGTCTGGAAAGAGTATGAAAGAAGAGTTCCACTTTTGGTTCCTGGTCCCAGAATGACCCCCAGGGGCCTGTGTAATATAGGTGACCCGTCCCACCCCGAAGTGTAGCGAATTCAGCACTCCCTTCCCCAGCAGCGAGTGCAACTCACCTGTGGTGTAATTGAACACGTCACCCAGAGGACTCTGCCCCGCCTGGTTATAGGCGAAAACACTGATGAAGTAGGTGAAGCCACATTCAGACGGGAAGCCGCACTGTGTGAGGGATGTGTCGCAGTGAACTTCCCAGCCATCGTCACTCTTCACAAAGGCCACGTAGTAATCCGCCAGGTCTACACGGGACCAAGACACAGACAGGTGGCCGGGGGGGTCCTCCTGGATCGTCACTCTTCCAGGGGCACAAGCCACTAAGAAAGGATGAATAATAAACAGTTGTGAGAGATTTCCTTTGCTTCTTTACAATTGTGCAAGATACTGGGCACTGTGGACCAGGAATACATCAAACAGTAGGCGCAAGCCAACGAGACGTTCTCACACGCCCTAAAATTTGTCTCACACGATGCCTGCTAGACAGTGTCAGAAGCAGGCACAGACTGGCTGATATGGTGGTAATACTGTTTCTCCTTTAAGGCGATGCCAACATCAGCACAGAATGAAGTCTTCCGAAGGAATGAATTCCAACTGAGTCTTGTTCTTCCAAGCCCTAAGCTCTTAAAATCTTAGTCATCTCTAATGGAAATCTTCCTGAAATACACTACACAATTCTCGGTCCCAGGAAACACATAGAACTTTCTAAACATAGTTCTTCATCAGTAAGTCAAGGTCGTTCCTCGATCGTGACTGATGGTGTTGTGCACAGACTACAGGGGTGCCTCCTGGCATGAAAGTGTGCGGGACTATTTCAGGATGCTTGCCAGAATCCACTGCGGAGCATTTACAGACTATTCATATCCTATCTCCATTCCCAGAGACTCGATTTCATTGGTCTTCTGTGGGGCCTGGGTGGCAGGATTTTACAAAAGCTCTCTGGATGCTCTTAATGTGCATCTAAGATTAAAAAAAAAAAAACACTGGATGGTTCTCTCTGGAGTTAGATGACTAACTCAGAACTGCCAGGCTTTTGAAAGTATATTTCTTTCTTTCTTTTTTTAGGACACAAAGTTTTATTCGAATAGTTGGAAGGGGGTGAAGGGGACACCACCCTTCTACTTAATTAAGAGAAACAGCGTTACCAGTACAGAGGGCTTTTGTTTTGTTTCTCTTGTCACGCTGTGCTTTCACAGGGAGTGGGTTCCAGCAGCCCAGGCTCCTGTGCACTGGTTCTCGCCAAACGAGCGTCTCTGGGCGGCGCATGCTGGTGCTTCAGCTGGACCACATACCCCTCTCTATGGCTTCTTTCTTTCTAGGATCATTTTCCTTCACACATTTCAGAGAGCTATCCTAGCTCTTAGCATGTTTACCACACTCCATAGGTACATCGATTCTCTTGGCAAGAACCTGCCCTTCGCTCGTTTGTTTGCAACAACGCCCACCGCCTGCTGGGCGGCCCTGCAGGCTCCTCCCGTTTTGCCCTGGGAACACCTTCCTTCTTGAACAGTGCCCATTCCCTTCCTGCCTACAAGATCACCTTTCCTGTAGGTTCGCATGGATGGGGCCAAAGGGACAACTCCCTGTTTTCTAAAAGGCCTGGAGCACACAGAGCAGGTGCCTCTCCTCTGTCCCTTTGTGTTGCTCCTTTTGCGAGTCACTGGGAGGTGGCTGGAAAGCAAAGGGAAAGTGTGTTTCTTAACTCTCTCTGCCGGCGCCCCCTGGTCTAGCTCCCTCGCCCTCACACCTGTTTCCCATGTGCCGACCGCATGCCAGGCCAACTCACCAAGGTGTTATCATCAACTTTAACATAATTATGGTTTTATTTATCGTAACTAAATGAGGATTTTATCTATTTATGATGCGAAGGGTCGGCTGTACGTTTTTCCTGTGGAATATAGCGTGTATCAGCTTGGTGATGGCTCTTTTCCTCTCTGCTCAGAAGCCTTTTTTTTTAATGTGTTTTTTTTTAAGATTTTATTTATTTTTAGAGAGGGAAGGGAAGGAGATAGAGAGAGAGAGACATCAATGTGCGGTTGCTGGGGGCTGTGGCCTGCAACCCAGGCATGTACCCTGACTGGAATCGAACCTGCGACACTTTGGTTCGCAGCCCGTGCTCAACCCACTGAGCTATGCCAGCCAGGGCCAGAAGACTTTTAAATTTAGAATGACGTGGTTCCACATTTTGGGTAAAGGGCACATTATTGTGGTTCTCTGCATTTTCTCTGCCTTAGAGGAGTGGAATCAGGCAAACTTGGCCTTGAATTCCAGATGGCGCAGGAACTGAACATCTCTGGGGCCTCAGAAAAGTTATTTAGCTTCCCTGAACTTCAGTTTTCTTACCTAATCAAGGAGATCCTAGAACCTGCTTCCCTGAGTGGTCCCGAGAATGAAATAAAAGGATGTATTTATAATGCCTGGGGCATAGCAGGTTTTCACTAAGTGTTAGTTGCCATCCCCAAGCACACAGATATTTCTAAATCGAGGAGTAAACCTTCACATCTGTGTGTCTTTATGCCCTTGATAAGAATGATATCTGAAGGTATCTGAACACATATTCAAAACTACAGACAGCCCATCTTTATCTTAAAAAATAGCTCCCGGCCAGCCTAGGCCTGTGAAACACGAGGCAAAGAACAGGCCTGCTACCCGTGCTGCACAGTTAGAGATGCGCGCGCCTCAAACCCGGTCCTAGAATTTTTGCAACTTTACAAACGAAGGAAGGAAAGACCTGCGACAGGAGTCGATTCTCCAGAGTTGAAAAGTCCGTTTTCTAATGCACAGCATCTGGCTCCGCCAGCGGCGCTACTCAAACCCGTCGGAAAGTCCGACTCCCTGCGTTCATGCAGACCAGGCTCCTGCTTTCACTTCCTCCAGCAGGTTCTGGAACAGTGTTAGGGCATCACCTGTTTCCCCGCACGCCACGCCGGTCACTTTGGCTCACCGCCCGCCGCACACTGACCTCGCTCCTGACGACCTACCGGTTTTCAGGGTCACTGCTGAAGTCGACCTGCTGGATCCGGCGTCGTTCCTGGCGAGGACGGAAACCAGGTACTCCGTTCCACACTGGAGGGAGGAGATGGTGCAGGCCCTGAGCGGGGTGCTGCAGCTCCGCTCGGAGGAGGCGCTCTGAGCTGTCGCCGTGTAGTTGACAGCGCCTTCCGTCGGGGCCCACGACACAGACGCCTGCAGAGCCCCGCTGTTGAAAGAGACTTCAATGTCCGCAGGGGCACGAGGACCTACATTTTTGAGAAACAATTAGGATTTTGCAGTAGCCTCAAGCACCCAAGCACGATGGGGCCTTCCAAGCGCTTTGATAGAAGGATGCCCAGGCAGATAGCGGCAGGAGCAGCGTCTGCGCCATGTCCCAGAGGTAACGGGTTTCCTAAAGACTTTTTCTTTGTTTGCTTCCCCATGTTTTACGTTTCGGAGACTTTGGGTTTAGCCCGACTCGGCCAGGACTGCTGTAACAAAGTGCCACATATTCAGTGGCTTAAACAACAGAAATGTATTATCTCACTGTCCTGGAGGCTAGAAGTCCAACACCTGTTCAGGTGTGGGCAGGGTGGGTTCCTTCCCAATGCTATGAAGAAGGGTCTGCTGCAGCCTTTCTCCTTGGCCTTCCTGTTCATATGGCAATCATTCTCCCTGCACGTGCGTGCCCGTGTCCAGAGTCCCTCGTTTTATAAGGCCTTCAGTCACACTGGAACGGGGCCCACCCGAATGACGTCGCCGTAACTAATTGCATCTGCTATGAAGTCAGCATTTCTTTATTCACCCAGTCAGCATTTCAACTACCAAGGGGAACAGTCAAGGCACTATAAATAAACTCATCGTAAATTTAAACAGCTGCCGCCAGCTGCTTTGTACTCATCACTCGGCCGTGCACTCCCGCTCTCATTAATCAGAAAGGAGACCCGGGGCCCAGCCGAGAAGCCTTACTTGTTCTCTGGTTGCAGGTGGAGTCGTCCCCGGGGGCGCCATTGGCATTCCACGCATAGGCCTTGACCGTGTAGAGGGTGCCAGGGTCCAAGCCGGTGAATGTCAAGGTGGTGTTTGTGGTGTTCTCCTTCCACACTCTGCCCAGACCGTTGGCTCGCATGATGGACACGGAGAACCCGACGGCCATACGCACAGCTTCCCACTGAACGAGAATGGAGTCTGAACTCGGGGAGCTTACTTCTAGAACTGGTGCGGCCAACACTGCGAAGGCAAAGACACGTGTGTTTGCATCACGAAAGTTTGGTAGAGGAGAATTCGCATTTAGGAATAAGCCGTCTGAGGTTGATTACCCGTGTTATGAAATAATGATTTGCTGTGCAAATGGATTCGTGGTAGAGTGTCACTAAGAATTGCTATTTAAAAAAAAAAGCCTCAAGAATTGCTATTTAAATGTGTATTAATCATAAACAGCTCATCACAGGAACAAGGAACAGAGAAATTCTAATATTAGGCATTACTTTAAACTGGAGGATGGTAAGGCATTAAATAAAACAACCTTTTAATCATAGTATAAGCCAGCAGCGGAAGTGATGGTTTGTGCTATTTTGCTGTGCAGATGACCTTTCAGAAACTTGTTGAGGTACAACTTAATCAACTCCATTTAAGTTATGCTGATGACAAACTCCAAATGTTTTCATTCCAAAAAAGTCGAAGTGCAGCAAGATCCCTCCTGTGTGTGTTTTTTATTTAGCATCATCTTGATGGATAACTGAGGTTAAAAACAGAAATCCCTCTTGCACAGATTTACAAGCAGGGATGCTTTTAAAGATGCCCAGGAATAGTTACTTTAAAATGCGAAGTATTTAAAATTTAAATATACCTTCTAGCCCTGGCTGGGCAGCTCATTTGGTTAGAGCATCATCCGGATACCCCAAGGTTGCAGGTTCAATCCCCAGTCAGGGTACATACAATAAACAATTCATGAATGCATAAATAAGTGGAACACAAATTGATGTTTCTCTCTCTCTTCCTCCACCTCCTCTCACTTTAAAACAAACAAACAAACAAACAAATGCCACTTTCTCCACAGATAATCAAATTCCCAAAAGAGATCATTTGGTGGCCTTTCCTTCTGGGCCCTGAATTATAGGCATTTGTGTGACGACACAAAACTGCATCAGGCAGTTACAGCCTCGTGTGTCTGATCCTGGTCACTGGCAATGGCTCAGCAGAGGATGGTGTCCAGCTACCTGTCTTTGCCTGCTTCGGAGGTGAGGCCTGGCTTTTCCCCGTGGCACTGATGGACCTGACCGTGATTTGGTACGAGGTGGCAGCCTTCAGGCCTGTCACAGTGCCTGGGGAACTGGCCACCATGGTTTCAATGACAGTGTCCCCATCTTTGGCTGTGAGGAGGTAGCTGGTGGCCCCCGGCACTGAGGCCCACTCCACAGTGATGCTGTTGCTGAGTTTTGAATACGCCTGGTCAATAGTGGGTGTTTCCGGAGCTGAAAGAGATTTTGAAGTTGCACATGAATTAGCTAGAATACCTATAAGAACTACTCCTTTCATCATTTTACTTTGCAAACCGTTGGGAACTGCCCTGCGTGGCATCAGAAGCTGTAACCCCCGCCAAGGCTAAGGCTGAGGGAATGACCTTGGACCATAAGCCACCAAGGAGACAAAAGCTTATCTTCCTGGCAGGAGCACCACTTCTCCTTTTACTTCACCCTGCCTGGCCCCCAATGCTTGGTCGGTTAGCCAATGATGGGTAAGATTCCCCAAGGGGGGAATGATCTAAGACAGGCACAATCACGTGGGAGGACCCCAAGGAAGGACTTTGGGGGCTACAGCAAAAGGGGGAGATGGACCCTCACCCCTCAGCTTTGAGATAGCCTGAGTTCTCATTGTCTTCGAGAAAATCTCCTAATCTCTCAATGCCTTACTTCCCTTGCTCCACCTAAGCCTGAAACAATGACAGAGGGTGGTGCAGCCCTGTGCTGGAAAGGGCGGGTTCCCCAGGCAATCAGGCCTAAGAAAGAACATGTAAAATCCTGTGAAACCTGCTTTATTTAGAATGCCCTCAAGGTTTTACAGCTCTTTAGCTATCTGACCCTGACTCAAAATAGGCCCTCAGACTTCTTTGTTATCTATTGTTTGATCCTTACTTCCTGGTAATGATCAATGAGCTTTACCTGAATTCCTGTGTAAACGAACCCAATAAAAGCCTGCTCGGGCGGGAGAACGGGGTGCTATCCACTAGAGAGAGTGGCCGTTTCGTACCTATTTCCCCACAGGACTCGGTATGTGTATACCGAGTCCTTGTGTATGTTTTTCTCATGTTTTGACGAGCATCTGCAGCTGCAATGGATACCACTGGCCTGGTATCCTCCACAGCAAACTACATCATTTTCACACCATCCTTCAGACATAGACTCTGCCCTTACTTTCCAGATTAAAAAAAGAAAGAAAGAAAGAAAGACAACGCTACTTTCCAGAAGAGAGTCAGAAAGCTCAAACCTTTCATTCAGGAAAGGGATTTCAAAGAGATTTTTCCTACTTGCCTCTGGGGTAATTTGCATTTTTTGTATTTTTAAAAGTTGAAAAAAAGTGGTGCCCTGGCTGGTGTGATTGAGTGTCGGCCTGTGAACCAAAGGGTCGCCAGTTGATTCCCAGTCAGGGCACATGCCTGGGTTGTGGGCCAGATCCCCGGTAGGGGGTGGGGGGCGCTGGCTGAGAGGCAACCACATGTTGATGTTTTTCTCCCTCTCTTTCTCTAAAAATAAATAAAATTGTTTTAAAAAACCTTAAATAAAAGCAGGGAATGATTGTGAGAAAAGATCTCTGAGATGAGGGAGAGGGTCTTTGATGAGCTTTATTTGAGAAGATCCTACTCTGGTTTGGCGACCTGGGAGTTTCCCAGCCTGCTTTGCCACTGTGTCCACTCCCTGCCTTCTGGCAGTGCTCCCCCCCCCCCGTGAGGGTTCACTTCCATTCCCACTACTGTGGTGGCTGAGTCTTACCCTTGGCTCACTTCCCACAATGGCATTTAATTTAACAGAGGAAGCAGGGAGGACTGAGTTTTGTTTTCCAATTATGCCATCGTACTTTCTTATTATCAGAATGAACCATTTTCAGATTATTTTATATAAAATAAAAATAAGCTTGCTTCTTCCTTTCTCTATCAAACTATCTGCCTCAGCATAAAACGGGCCTGGCCGTGGTTTGCCAGGGAGATACGAATGTTTATGCCACAAGTTCCTATGAGGCATTCCTACACTTTCAGCATGGGGTTGGAGACACTGTATGATAATCAGATTCGCTACTTTGCAAAAACCCGCAGACACAGAAATGCCCCAGTTGTAGATCTAAGTGGAAGAAAAGGTCAAACAAAAAGGGCTGGGTTTCAGGTCTTGAAACTGGCACTGGGCCTTTTATGTTTAATGTGAAACTTTCGCTGGGTTAAATCACTACACGCCAAATTCAGAACTAAAGGGCAAAGCATAACTATAGGGCTGAGGGTGGGAAGAGTTCACGCAGACCCCATATGAGACCTGCCAGTATCACCCCACCCCCAAGCACCCCCACCTGCCAGCTCCCCACGTGCCTGGCACGGGCCCCCTTCTCTTCCTGCACCAATAGCCCAGAGCGCTGGCTGAGGCAGTGTCTCAGAAATAACCATGCTGCAAGAACGAACAAAGTCTCCACTGTGCACTGGCCAGACATTCCTTGAACGTCACCCAGGACTGTCTCCTTTGCCATCGAAAGAACATGATGCTGATTCTGTGTGCTGGGGGGACGTTGCAGGCCTGCCCATCTTAGCTTAGCCATTTGCCAGCGGAAGCTGACTCTGCAGGAAGCGCTATGTCCCCTCTCCCCTCTGCAGGAGAGAAAGCCTCAGCAGGGTCCTGGCCGGGTAGCTCAGCTGGTTAGAGCGTTGTCCACATAGGTCAAGGTTGCAAGTTCGATTCCCGGTCAGGGCACATGCAAGATGCGACCAGTGAATGCATCAATAACTGGAACAACAGATCAATGTTTCTCATTCTCTCACTCAAATCAATAATTTTTTAAAAAAAGACCCAGCAGGGACTCTCCCTTTTATCCCCCCAACACACATGCATCCTTTTCCTGCTCCCCAAGTTATTTGCTCTGTGTTAGATGCCATCTCTCCTCTAAATCTGTGGTTTCTCTCAGCTGCTTCTCTCTCCTTTGTCCCCACAGTTCATCTTCTATGTCAGCCAGCCTTGCTCACTGGAAAGAAATAACCTCCTGGGAAAATGACGACCAAACTAGCCGTGGACACAGGGGCCCTGAGAGCACATCCACAGGGTGGCTGGGAAGGAATACGAGAGACGAGCAGGCCACAGACAGTTCCCCACAGGACTGCCAGGGGCCCAGAGACTCCACACACCCCGTCCCGGTGGGCAGAGCCGCGAGAGGCACGCTGGCCCAGAAGAGGTGCGACCTGGAGCCAGTTCCAGCAGGAGGAAGCTCAGGGGCCTGGGTCTGGAGGAAAGTAGCAAAAGGGTTTGGGTTCAGGGACTCTGGGTGTGAGCCATTTACTTTTGCTTGTGAAAATGTACACATCATTTAACCTCTTCTAGACTCAGTTTCTCCCTGGAGAATGCGGGATAGTAATAATAGGCACATATTAGGGTTTACACTGGTGTGTAAAACACCTACATCACAGGACTGCTTTGAAGATTAAGTGAACGAATGTATGTGAGGGGACTTTGAAAGGCAGGGTTAGTGTGTGTGTTTGTGCGCATGCGTTGTGTACCGTGTACCAGGTTGAGCACGTTTTGGGTTTGGAAAAGCCAGACTGCGGGAGGGGGTGCCAGGGAAGGCGAGACTGTGGGGAGCTCTGGTAAGCCCAGGCTGGAGAGACAGACCACCCGTTTTTCACTTGGTTCTAGGGCAGGATCTGGAGAGGAACAGCGATAAATCGAGGTCAACACCCTGTACTGTTTCCCTTCGAGAGAAGAGTGATGCAAAAAGGATGGCGAGGTTGCGTCAAGGAGCGGCGCCTCCCTCTCTTAGTCTGGTGTTTGGCCCACTTGTGCCATTGAGGGAAGAGAAAGCATTCTTCTCTAGAGGTGCTGCCAACCATTCCGATGAGTCAGACATGACAGGCATTGGTGCTCAGCATCTGTGCATTCTACCAGCGCCCAGATCTAAATTAGCCGGCGTGGCCGGGGCGCCCAGAGACAGACAGCTGACGCCAGAGCAGGGAGAGAACCGAAATAACACACACGCGAAAGGAAACCTCCTACACCGTGTCGATAATGCACAGCCCTTTCGAGAGAAGCCAGGCCAAATCAATTACCAGCCTCACCAGCAGCTCAGCCTGTCCCATCCTTCCCCCAGATGGTGAGGCACCAAACAGAGCCTCATGCCGGGGGTTCAGGGGGCGTGTGCCGGGACCTGCAAGAGACAGCAGAGCTCTGTTGTGTCCACCCAGAGGCCACTTATTAAAAAGAAATTGCTCTGTGTATGGCCTCACAGTCCTTCTCATAGCTTTCTGCTCAGTTTTGAAGACTTCTCCAGAATAAGTGAATAAGAAAAATGCATGGAAGCCCTGTTTGGGTAGCTTGGGGGGTTACAGTGTCGTCCAGGTCCGCCAAGGTCGCAGGTTTGAGCCCTGGTCAAGCGACATCCAGGAATCAACCAATGAATGCAAAAATCAGCAGAACAAAAATAGATGTTTCCCTGTCTCCCTCCGTCTCCAAAATCAATCAATAAAATAAATAAATAAATAGCATGAAGTGATTTTTAAGAACCTATTGTATATGCATGCATTTTATGGCTCAACATATGTCTAATACCAAATTTGAAATTGCCTTATTTATACTTGCTTTACTATGTATAGATAAAATAATAATCTCTCTCTCTCTCTCTTTCTCTCTCTCTCAAGTCAATAAACATGTCCTCGAGTGAGGATTTAAATTTTTTAAAAAACTGTTCTAATGTTGAATGGGTATGAGAGTTTACTGATGATGTAATTGATATTATGAGGTCCCTCCAGGTCATCTAAATCCTACGGAATATAAATTTCCATTCTGGGGGTTTAGATTTCTAGAACGTATAAGCTAGGAGAGGCCTCTAGGGACATTATCTACACCTTCTTCAGTCATCCACTCAAGAGAAATGGTAATAAAATAATTTGAAAAGAAAGCCTTTTCCCAGCTCCAACTTATCATTGTCTGTATTTCTTAAGGATGCAATAGGAGTTGTGTAAAATCATTTTTTATTAAAGTAGAGAATCCTGAGATTTTAATAAAAAATTTTTTTAGTCTTCTCCTCTAGTTCCTCAGAAGACAAATAAGAAAAGTTACATGAATTAGACTCTTCACTACTTGTAACTAAAATTTTGTTTCTTTGACTGCAATGATGGTCATTGTAATATTTTACTGAAGGCTGCCTCTGTTCAAGAAAATCCATAACCACGTGACTCTATACATCTTAGTAAGAATATCTTATGACAACTGTTAAGTTTGATCCCTGTATTTGTCTTACCAGTTCCACTGACAGTGTGAGTGCTCAGAAAATGTTGGAGGCTTTTCCTGGTATAGCCTCTGTCTCTCAGGGTAGCGCAAGAATTCACAAGGAAAATTAAAATCAGATAGGAGGAGGGGAAGCTTGCATTTTAGAAAACCTTACCTGTTTTTGCTGAAGCAACCTGAAAAGGAAAGTTTAGAAAATTAGAACCATAAAGGGAAACACCATTTGGGGAATATGTTAGACATCAATCAGAGCAGAAATAAATTTATCACATTTTTTTACATGTAATGTGAGCAATCTTTCAGCCCATATAGCACGTTTATTTGCACGAATCACTTCCCAACACTCAAATCTACCACAAAGCAATCCTAAATAGAATTTAGAGGCTGCAGGCAGATCGCATTACTATTTCATTTTTCTCCCTGAATCTGCCTATTGAACTAACTCAGTAGCTGCTGACAGATTTTCCAGAAATCTTTGTTCTTAAAATATAATGGCAATTTTGTTCTTTCTCCAGTAAATTGCATCACATTTCAAACATATAAACATACATGATCTTGGTATGGTCCAAAAGTATTTTCATTTATATCTCCTCACCCCCAGGCCCTAAAAGAGGATAATAAATGTCTTTTTTTTTCTCCCCTAAATAGTTGCAGGTAGGTCAGAATGGCCAACTCACCATTTTAAGACAGAGAAGACTGAATCCAACCAAAGACAAACATTTCTTGGGTCCGCCACCCATGGTGTTGGACACGGCATGCATAAGGCACAGAACGAGCAGGGTCCTCTTTGGTCCCCAGGAGGGCAGCACAGTGGGTCGCTGGGGTGTGGGGCTGTGATGCTGGGAACAGACCCTGGCAAGTGGCTCCTCCCCTCCAGTGTGGAGCTGACCTGTAACTAGGGGCACCTGGAGACTGGCAGGGACAGCTACTGCAAAGACGGAGAAAAAGAGAGTTGAAGAAAGCCAAGCCAAGCGGGCCAAAAAGCTACTCTGACCTGGGTTTAAAGGTAATACGCAGACTGCTCTCCTTTCCTTTTAAAAAAATCTTTTGTTTTTAAACAAAAATTGTTACAAAGCTGTACAGAACGTTGTGGAGATAGCAGAATGACCATTTTCAGGTTGGGGCTCCTGGCCAGTTTTATCAATTGTTTTCCACCTTTGTCGCTTGTGTCGTCATCGCTGTAGGAAAGGGTTGGTCTGCCGTCGGCAGCAACTTGCTGCAGAGCTTCAGTATTGAAGGTGACGGGGCGAGGGACGGGGCGGGGGCACTAGGGAGGGGCTGGTGAAGGGTGCAAACTTACAACTAGCAGAGAAGTCAGACTGGGAGATCTAATGCACAAGCACACAGCATAGTGATGGTGGCCCACAGTATTGGGTTATACACCTCGAAGCTGTCTAGGGACTAGAACTGAACCATTCTCTGCACACACACACACAAATGGTAATTCGGAGATACGATGGAGATGATTAGCTAATGCTACCGTAGTAATCACATTATAACATATAAATGTGTCAGACCAACACACTGTACACCTCACACTTATACAATGTTGTATGTCAATTATATAAAAAAAAAAAGATGAAAGGGTGGGAACGTGTCCTCACGCCGGGGAAGATCGAGGGAGGTGCTTGAGGAGCAGAGTAGATCCATCCGTCCCCAGACCCACCCTGCAGCTCCGACACCTTTCATTTCCAGAGCCATCCCCCCTAGTTCAGGCTCTCAATAATAATTACCATTTAGTCCAAGCACTGTAGTATTTAATTCTAACAATAAACAAGTACCTAAATGACTAGTAAATATTATTACGTGACTTGTATGAAATCGCACAAGTATTAGTGTATTTTCCTGTATATAATGCACACTTTTTTTGCCTAAATTTTTGAGGGAAAAATGAGGATGCGCATTACACATGGGTAGTAATAATTCCGTGTCTATATAAATGTTTTTAATTCTTTTATTTATGCTTATGCATTAAAGTGTAACTCTAGAAAGAAATAATGATATCCATATGCAAAATAATACCCTGGATTATGGTCATTGGTTTTGTTTCTAAATATACATAAATAAAAATTGAATTAAAATATTAAAATGAAGGATTTTTCCCCCTGAAAGTTTAGGCCAGAAACGTGGGTATGCATCATACACGGGCGCATCACCAACACAAAGTAGGTAAATGGTGGAACTGAGGTTAAAACTCATCAGTACGACCTCTGCTTCCAACTAAGAATGATGCTCTGGTTCATCTTCAGATCATATAAATCCTTCACCTTTATCCAACTAAGATAGGACTGGATTCACCCTGCCTGACTTCAAGACTTATAAACCTACAGTAATTAAGACAAGATGAATTATATGGATTGTTATCAAGGTAATTGGTATCCAGATAAGGTAAATAGATCCATGGAACAGAATAAAGTCCAAAAATAGACCCACACTTAAATGGACAATGGATTTTCAACAAAGGTGCAAAGGCATTCCAGAGGATAAAGACAGTCTTTTCAACAAATGGTACTGAAACAATTTGATGACCATGTACGAAAAACATGAACTTTGTTCCACACTGCAAGGCATACAAAAAGTTAACTCAAGTCCAGGGCTTGCTTAGTTGCTTAGTTGCTTAGGGCATCGTCCTGATATGCCAAGGTTGTGGGTTCAATCCCCAGTCAGGGCACATGCAAAAAGCAGCCAGTGAATGTGTCAATAAGTGGAACAAGAAATCATTGTTTCTCTCTCATGCATGCTTAAAAAAAAATACATAAGTAACTCAAAATGGATTACCGATCTAAATGTAATACCTAAAACTATAAAACTTCTAGAAAAAATAGGAGAAAATCTTTGTGACCTTATGAAAAGATTTCTTAAATAGAACATTGAAAACATGACCTATTAAAAAAATTAATTAGCCTTCAAAATCAAGAACTTCTGCACTTAGTAAGGGACTAAAAAGACAAGACACAGACTGGTGGAAAATATTTGCAAATCATATATTTGATATAGGGCTTGGGTCCAAATTTTTTAAATTAAAAATTTAACAATGTATATATGTGTATATATATGTATATAACTCTCATAATAAGAAAACAACTCAATAAAACAACAGGCAAAATGTTTGAATAAACATTTTACAAAAGAAGATAGGCAAGTGAAAAAAATCCTCACCACTATTAGTCACTAGGAGAATGTAAATTAAAACCACAATGAGATATCACTGTATACTTATTACATGTCTAAAATTATAAGTTCCAGGCTGGTGTGGCTCAGTGGTTTGAGTGCTGACTTGCAAACTGAAAGGTTGCCTGTTCGATTCCCAGTCAGGGTGCATGCCTGGGTTGGGGACCAGGTGCCCAGTTGGGGGTGTGCGAGAGGCAGCCGATTGATGTTCCTCTCACACGTTGATGTTCCTCCCCCTCCCTTCTCCTCTCTCTAAAAATAAATAAAACCTTAAAATTAGAACAAAAATTGGCAAGGATGTAGAGTAACTGGAACTATAACAGGTGGGAATATAAAATGATACAATTACAGAACAATTTGAATTATCTCTTAAAAAGTTAAATATACACCTATTTTTATGTATTTAATTGATTATTTAATATGTTATTTCTCAATCTAAGAGAGAGAAAGAGAGATATCGATTTGTTGTTCCACTTATTTATGCATTATTTGGTTGTTCCTTGTATGTGCCTTAACCATCGAACTCACGACCTTGGTGTATGGGCACCCAGCCAGGGAAAATGTACACCTACTACATGACTCAGTCATTTCACTCCTAGGTATTTACAATGGAGGCTGAAGGGACGGCCGTGGAGAATGAAGAGTTGATAGGGGCAACAGGCTGGACAACCCAGTGGAAATGATTGTTGGAAAGGATATTAGATGAAACTACAGGAGTTGGTGATTGGAGAATGGGGCGTGTGAAGTGGACACTGGAGGAGTTCCGGTCATTGGTGATGACCAGCGCTAGGGTGTAGCCGTGGGAAGTGGCAGCTGAGGTCAGTGGCGGGAAAAGTCGCTGGAGGTCAGATCGGGACATGGAGAGACCTGAGTATCGGAAAGACTGTTCAGTGGGTACTGGAATCACAAGAACTATGGCAGGAGTGGTGAGGAGGTACTGAGCAATCCACTCAACTCTTTAACTGTATGTTAAAACACGAGGGGGGTATCTTTCGAGATATGTGGGTGGCACGGACTGAGGGACAGTGGGTGGTATAACCTGATGACGTGAGCTTTAGAGGTGTGAGGATGCTCAGAGAAGAGGGAGAAGCAACGGGCAGGAAGCCCAATGATTTTATGTTAGCAACTGATTGCTGGCCAGCGTCTGCTTCTTGGTTGTTATCAGAGTGGGTTATGGGTGTTACTGTTGAATAGTTCCATCAGGGAACAACGCCAATAAAACAGCTGTTTTGTGTTGGGAACCACCCTGCCTGGTATCAGAAGCTGTAAACCCTGCCAAGGCTAAGGCCGAGGGAATGACCTTGGACCATAAGCCACCAAAGAGACAAAAGCTTATCTCCCTGGCAGGAGCACCACTTCTGCTACTTTTACTTCACCCTGCCTGGCCCCCAATGCTTGGTCGATTAGCCAATGATGGGTAAGATTCCCCAAGGGGGGAGTGATCTAAGACAGGTACAATCACATGGGAGGCCTCCAAGGAAGGACTTGGGGGGCTACAGCAAAAGGGGGTGATGGACCCTCGCCCCTCAGCTTTGACAAAGCCTGAGTCCTCATTGTCTGCGAGAAAATCTCCTAATCTCTTGGCTGCCTTACTTCCCTTGCTCCACCTAAGCCTGAAACAATGACAGAGGGTGGTGCAGCCCTGTGCTGGAAAGGGCGGGTTCCCCAGGTAATCAGGCCTAAGAAAGAATCTGTAAAATCCTGTGAAACCTGCTTTGTTTAGAATGCTCTCAATTAACTGATAAGTGTCCAAGGAAGAAGTAAGTTTGTTCCTCAAAGCTTTACTGCTCTTTAGCTATCTGACCCTGACTCAAAATAGGCCCTCAGAGTTCCTTGTTATTTGACCCTTACTTCCTGGCAATGAGTAATGAGCTTTACCTAAATTCCTGTGTAAACGAACCCAATAAAAGCCATTGAGGAAAAGGCTCTTGGTCCTCAATGAGACTTTCAAGAGATCAGCCACCTTTCCTCCCCAAGCAGATCATGTCTTGGTAGACTTGTTCTCATCCATGGCGGATGGGGGGCTCGGCGGACAAAGCTCCCCCCAGTGTTGTGATATAAATTTACTTTAAAACTTTGACTTATTGGAGCGCTGTCCCTCTCGGGAACACGCCCACGCCTTCCTTCCCCCTCAGGCCTACATTTTCACTTTTCTCTCCAAGCTCGAAAGGTCCCCACGAGACCGGCACCCAGGGACAGCGGACAGCGGCAGCCTGTGTCAGGCCAACCCTCTGCACTTGTCTCCAAGGCCCCTTTCTCCGACTGTCCAGTGAGCTGCCAGCAGCCCCGCCTCGGTCTCCCTCCTGTTGCTGCTTCTACCCTAAGCACTTTCTTGTCTCACTGTCCCCAGCTTTGTAAATGTACTCTCAAAATTAAACAAACAAACAACTTTGACTTACTAAATTGACCAAATGTCTGAAATTCTCCTTGCAGGAATGGGATTCTGCCAAGCAGTAAATGCTTGCGTTTAGGTCCTGAGGGTGGGGAGTTAAGACCACTGAGAGTGGAAGCGGCTGCTAGTGTGTCTGTTTAAACATCCTCAGTAGGGTGACACTAGGGAAATTAAGTT